GAGGCAGGAAGACCCTCCCCCGGGGAGTGGAGCAGGGCCAGTGAGGGCAGGGTGAGGAGGAAGGAGGGAGAGACCTGGGCAGCCAGGAGCCCGAGGCCAGAGTCCTCGCTCCTCGTTCTAACTGACCCTAGAAAATGGTGGATTTCTTCCCTTTTTCAAAGATCTCTACTCCTACATTCGACTCATAAAGAACTCACACAGAACCCGAGACGAGGGCTCTCGAACACGCAGACACCCACAACCCAGCAGCTTGGGCACGTGTGATGCTGGAGCCCTGTGAGGACACTCACCTCAGCCGGGGACACTGCCCAGGCCCAGGCTCTGGGCTTAGGGCCCCCACTTCTGGTCCCTCTCTGTTATGCGATGTTGGCCCGGCTTCTCACCCACACTGCGCTTCAGAGTCCCCTCTGTGGGCGACACCCAGACCCAAGATTAAGAGAAAGAGCCCATGAAAGCATGTACTGGTGTGTGAAGCACAGCAAGTAACCCACCTCAGCCATCAGCATGACCCCATGGGATCACTGCCCTTGTGACCAAGACTGCCCAGCCCTTGCCTTCCTCATCCTTGGAGTTTGATCCTCGAGAGCTGCTCTTGTTCTGGCAGAAAAAGGGTAGATTGGAGAGTGAACCACCCCATCCAGCCACAGGCAACGGGCTCTCACCCTGCACAGGGTTCCCGTCCATCCGCCCGCCTGACACGCTCTGTCGCCGCTGTCCACACAGCACAGGAAGATTCGGCGTGGCTCTGGTCTGGAAGGGCACACAACCTCTCTGCAATCCTTTGCAAGGAACGAGGCCCACCGCCGGCGTGGACCTCTGAGCTGTGCTTACTCACGACGAGTCACGATGTGCCAATTCAACTTATATCAACGGTTTTAACGAAAAGCAGGTGGGAGATTTCAGGGAACTTGGGGGCTCTGGAAGGTCAAATGCAGGCCCTTTTGCCTACACAGGTGACCCCCCATCCCCAGCCAGCGGGTGTTGGGAAAACAGAAGGGGTCTCGCAGCCCTGCCCTGCCCAGGGCTTCTGAGCTCTGGGCTCTCCCTGCCTCTCCCTCTTCAACTCGAGATCAGAAAATGACGAATTTCTTCCCAAGACTCTGCATCCATCCCAGCCAGCCTGAGACCAGCCTCCCCTGGAACCAGTTCCCCCTTGGAAGGCTTCCTCCCAGCCCAGGCCAACTATGTCCTGTGTCCTCAGGGCCTGGATTTACCAACCTGAGGGACAAGCCCAGGGGGTGGGGAGGAGGAAGGCCTGGCTTCTGTCCCTGTGCATCAGAGGCCCTCTCTGTCCTCTGACCTGTCTCCACATCTGCGAAGTGTCCCTTCCCAGCGTTGTGTCCTGGAATGTCATGATCTGAATGACAGTCGCATCAGCCCCTAGGAGAGACTGATGAGGATGGTCCCAGTGGCCCATCGATGACTCGGGTGGACACCGTGGTTCACAGCTCAATGCCCGTCCTACTCCCCTCCTCTTTCACCAGCAATGACATTTAGGGCACTGATCTGATGTGTAGGGTTGAGTCCCTTCTTTTCCACTCATGATTGGTCCGGATTCCAGACCCACAGCCATAGGCACTGACAACAGGGATCCAGGCTGAGTCGAGAATGCACGAGGAGCTTGCTGAGGCCTCTAAGCCCAGAAGGTAACTGACCCAGACCCTCTCCAACGATGGGGACCCAGCCTCCCAGAGATGTTGAGGCTGGGCAGCCAGTGGAGAGCAGACGGGCCAGGTCCTGGACGATGGGATGGGGCTTATCTGCTTGATAAGCCGAGCCTGGGCCCACCCGGTGTCTGAACCCTAGTTCTGCAGGCTCGCATGTTCCTGTCCATTTAAGCCAGTTGAGCTTGGCTCTGATGGGGCTTACAGTGGTATCTTCCTTTGAATTTCCCCCAAGCTTGGCCCAGACACCACACAATGTTCCCACATGAGGATTCCCACAAGAACAAGCGCTCAGAGGGTATGCTTGGTGCCTTAGTGAACATCCACCAGCACCTTTCGGGTGCTGGATGTGAGGCTGACGCCTTCCACGATCTCTTTGCATTGCTCTTAGAGTGCCATCACAAGGCACTGCAGACCAGGGGAACTTGAACTACAGAAACTTATGTCCTCATGTCTTGGAGGCCAAGAGTCTGAAGTCACGGCGTGGGCAGGGCTGGCTCCTCCTGGGGCTGCTCTCCCTGGTGTGTGGACACCTGTCCTCTCCCCAGGTCCTTACACGGTCATCCCCTTGTGTGTGCCTGTGTCCTGACCCCTTCCTCTTATAAGGACACTGGTCAGATTGGACCAGGACCCCTCTCCTGACCCTGCGGAATGTTCCAGTTTGACTCTCCAATGCTCAAAGAGGATGCAACTTGCCTAAATTCCTATGGCCAGAAGTGGCCACCCCAGGAGCCCCACACACCTCTTCCCTCCAGAGCTGCCAAAGGCCACGTCCCAGCAGAACCCCAAACCTGCTGCCTAAAACACCCTCGTGAACTCTGTGGGCTGTGCAGCGTGCAAGGCTAAAATACAACCAAGGCTGGGTGTGGCCCCTTCTCCTGTGCATGTTCACAGCGTCGTTGGGATGTTGATCTAATGGCCAGGGCATAACAGGAACACTCTCACTCCTCACCTGCAGCACATGCCTCCTCTTCTGGGAAACAACTCAACTGCTTGGCTCAAGAGAGCCTAGAGATCCCCGGTCCACCTCTGGGAGTAGCTGGTTGGCCAGGGCTGGACGCCTGTCCCGAAGGCCAGCTGTTGCTCCTCGTCCGCTGGGCATGAGTCACTGGCCTGACCCAGGCTGGACCAACCAGAGCCCTCCCCCAGTGTGGAAATTCATCACACAGGGAGCCAGGCTCCACTCCACCCTGGCAGCAAAGTAGGGAGGTGGTGGGAGGGGCAGGACAGCCAGTGGCCTTGTTTCCTTCTGCCTAGGAAAGGCAAACTGAGCGAGTCAGGCCAAGCATAGGGAGAGGTGCCATGAAGGCAGAGACTGGTGGGGAGAGAGCTCTTACAATCCTAGTACTTCATTCCTCTTGTCCCTGAAGGCACCTGCCCCCTACCTTTCCTGGATTTGCATTTCCACGAACTCCTCAAAGGTGCGGACTCTGATGACTACCATGCTCTCCAGCAAGGGGACTGTGGTCTGGAGGGACGCAGGGCCCATGGTCAGAGGTACACACTCCAGGCCACCTGCTGGCTGGGACGTGGGCAATCATGGTCAGACACTGCGGGGTTCCTGGTACCGGGGTCCTTGCCCCTCTTACGGGGTTAGATTGTGTCCCTCCCCCCGCCAAGAAATGCCTGTATCAAAGTCCAAACTTCCAGAACCGCAGAGTGTGAGCTTATTTGGAATTGGGGCCACTGAAGATGTGATTGGTTACCATGAGGTCATAGTAGGGTCGGGGGTTCCTAATGCAAAATGACTGGCTGCTTACAAAAGGAGAAAGAGAAAGGGTTACACACGGAGGGCAGGTCACGTGAAGACCGGGAGAACACCACTGACAAGCCCAGGAGCTCCAGGAGCCGGGAGCCAGGCCTGCAACAACTTGCTCACCGACTTCCAGCTTCCAAAACTGAGAGATAATAACTCATGGGGTTTAAGCCACTCTGCCTGCAGCAGTTTGTTAAGTGGGCCCCGGCAAAGATACGGTGCCCATGCCCAGCGTCCCAGGGCTAGGGGCCATGGTCTCGTCCACAGTAGGGTCTAAGAGGCTGGGGAAAACCTCTCCCTCATCGTGGCCCCGGGCGCCTGGAGGGAAATAGCGCAGGGCAGGTAGTTCTGAAGGAGGAGCGGATGGGAAGCTCATGGGAAAGGAGGGACCCCGAGTGTCTACTCAGGTGGGATGTCACAAACGGAGGACCCCTTAGGGGAAGGAGAGCAGAAGTGGTGGAAAGTACAGAAAAGGACAGAGGGAGGGAGTCCAGGAGACTCAGCCAACTCCGCACCTGTCTTATGCCCCTCCCTCCGGTGGCCTTGGGGCAAAGCCAAGACGGTCCATCAGCAGCCCAACGGCCTCCCTGGCCCCCACACCCCTGCACTGGGAGTTCTGCACTCACTGCCCACTTGCCGGGAGGGGAGAGCCCAGCCGGACGTTTCTTTTCTCAGGGTCAGCCAAGTCTCATGACAAAAGGTGGCGTGACTTAGCAAGCTTTCCAGAATGGCACAAGCTTCCAGAGGGGGTGTTCCCACTGTGCAGCGGGTGACCACCATGTTCCCAAAAACATTCTGTTTCCACACTTGGCTCACCAGAGTGGGGGAGCATTGCACAACTGATCGCAGATAAGAACCGCCCAATCCCTCAGAGCACGGGGGCCGCTGTGTGTGAACCAGGACTCGCAAGAGGGTAGGGCTGCAAGATGTGGGCACAGGGCATGCTTTTAAATTATCTGCAGGTATCTAGTATCATGAGGATGGGCAACCGCAGCTCCGAGGTCCTGCGGCGCCCACCTTCTGCTTCATGAGCAGAGTCACATGGAGGAATGATCCACCGTGCTGGCTCTGCAGATAGCCCTTGGAAAACAAGCAGGCTGGGCCTCAGGAATCCTAGAAGGCCAGCATGCAGTGGCCTGGGGGGCTCGCGTCCATGCTCGGCGGGCTTCTCCAGGAGAAGCCAGAAGACCGAGAAACTCCCACAGCGGGAACGAAAGGCGGCTTTGTAACACTGCTCTAAAAGCGTGCGCCCTCCAAAAAATAGGTGCTTTCAACACCAGCCTGGAGAGAAGGGTTGCCTCTGTGCTCTGGTCGCCAACCTTTACCCTGAATGTAATGTGTCAATTTGCAGCAGCCTCGAGAAGTCGCTGGCGGGATGAGCGACAAATGGGCATTAACAAAGCTGTCACAGCAAACCCAGAAGCAGTAGCTGAATTAATTTTTCCTTCATTAATAATATCCTAATTTGCATGATTAATATGTCATGGTCGATAAACACAGGCAGCTACGAATAAAGTCACTGAACAAAAATGCCACCTGCTGAGCAAAAAGAATAGGACAAATAAATGACTTGACACAGCTAAATGGGCAGGAGACGCTGTATTTCCCCCAAAACAATGTTCAAAATGCTTGAAATGTCACCATTATTGGGAGACCTGGTTGAAGAAGACAGAGACAATTGTTCCAGACGTTTCTGTGGAAGGATGAACTCCGGGGTATTCTAGACTCTGGCAGGTGGCCACCTGACAAGGCTGATTCCTGCCAGCTCCCTGGGCTCCTTCCCCACCTTGCCTTGCTTCCTGGGCCAGACCCAGGCCAGGGGGCAGGACATTCCAGGCCAAAGTGGTGCCACCATCAGCCCAGATCCACGTCTTCCTCCAGCTGCAAGCCTCAGCGATTTTTGGCAAGAACTGGGGAGCTGGGCTGTTGCCAAGAGCTGGAGCAGCTGCAGGGAGCAGAAGGGAAAAGGATACTGAAATGACCCTACGAGGGCCTCCGATGGGCTGGCCAAACCATTGGCCACGGTGCCGGGAGCGAGGGAGTAAGTCATGTGTGGGTCCCGGGTACAGACAACAACCTGAAGTCCTGGAAGGCAGAGCAGCCACAGAAGAGGGCAGCCTATGCAACAGAACCTTCTGCAATGGTGGGAATGTTCTAGACCCTCAGGGTGCCAGGTGGCAGCCACAGACCAGCACATAGGGATCAAGCACGTGAGGAGTGGCTAGAGCGATTCAGGATCCGTGGGGACTGCTTGTCACCCTACCCGAGAGGGTCCAGAAGTATGCTAGGGCACCAAGAATGAAGCACAAGACCCCATGGCCCCTTCCTGGCAATGACCTTAAGAGACGTGGGTCACCCCTGGCCCTGCTTGTCTGTGGCTTAGCTGGTCCCTGGGATCCGTGCTCTGCATCCTCTAACTATCCAAATGGACTGCTCTGTTCATATTTTGGCCTCACTCAAAACCCTCGAGTAGCCTCCACTCCTTACTGAAAACTGCCCCCCTCCCCGCAGGACTTTGGGTCTTCACAAGCTGCTCCCCACTTCCCCCCACATCCCCAACCCCAACATAGGATGCTGGTCACAGCTGATGCCTCCTGCCAGTGCCTCACCTCACACCACATCCCCGTGGCTCCTTGTCCCCCTCCCCCCCAATCCTAAGAAGAGACCTGCCCCAAGCTGCAGCCCGTGGCCTCCTCTCACCCGGAGTGAGCCTCACTCAGCCTCTGGCAGCAGCCTGTAACCCTGGCTTATTCATCCCTCGTTACTATTTATATGTGGTGCGGTTGCCACATCACAGCAGCAGCAAGATGACAAGGTGGAGCTCCTGAGCGTGTGTGACCACAGGCAGCAAGGAGAGGCCAAGGTCTGGGCACCCTTGCTCCCTGCCAGGCAGGGCTGAGGCCTCAGGAGGCCACTGGAACGCTCCGACTCTGGGGTCCTCATCCGGACACGAGGGTAGCAACTCCTTCCCCTCAGGTTTGGCGGGAGCCCAATCCTTGCAGGGGCTGGTGCTCAGCAGATCCTCAACCCGTGTGGGCCTCGGCTTCATCCCCAAAAGCTAGCCAGGGTCCTCCTCTGCTCTCCCTCCGGCTCACCGCAGCTGATGAAAAACTATCGCTGATTATGGGAGAGGAAGACCCACGAGAAATAATATCACAAACGGTATTTATCTCAGCCTTATTTCGTGAACTGGAACTGAGCTCATGGCAGGATAGGATTGTAAGAATACTTCCCCCACTGTCTCCTTTCTGCACCGAATTACCTCTGCCCAACCACCTTTCTTCACTTTTGTCATCCTCCTCCTCCAAGAAAGAGGCCAAGGAGGCCAAGGAGGAGGAGATTGTTAGAATAGCTCACGTGGACTCAAATTCGAGGGTCAGGGGACTTGGCTGCGACCCCTCCCTTGGCCCCAGAGTCTCAAAACCAGAGTCTAACTTTCCGCAACTCTCTGAGTGAGCCGGCCCCAGCCACGGCTCAGAAACCGGGCCTGGGAGCCCCCACCTCCCCGTTAAATCAGCCTGAATCCCCAGGGTGGTCCTATCTCACTTGGAGTCCTTTCCCTTTGTTTCTGTGATGCGGTCAGTGGGTGGCTTCCCTTAACTCATGGAGAGAGGTCCGCCCCTAGCAGGTCCCCGTTCATCATCACTGCTGATATCGCTACGATGTTGTGTCTCCCTTTACTGGTGGCGGCTGCCATCTGGTGAAGCTCCACAACCCCAACACCTGTCATCTGGGGCCCCCCATGCTGTCCAGAGACCTTCACACACACCCTGAAGAAACCAGTGAGAGGCAGTGTCCAGGGGGCCCTCCTCTGCCTAAAGCTACATTGGAAGAGGCAAAGTCTAGAAACACCTCTCAGAGGCTAGGTTTACTTCTCACCGACAGCAGCTTCGCTTTGCCTTCATGATTCAGTGCGGGGCCAGACGTGCTGGCAGGGGGGCTGCCCACAGTCCCTCCCTGGCCGGTCCAATCTCCCCACTCCCCTGCCTCTTGCATTTCCCCAGCACCATCCTGTAGAGGCACATCACTAGCCACATGTATAGGCATGTTTTACAAGGTTTTTCAAAAAAATAAATGATATCAGGGATGCCTGGGTGGCTCAGCGGTGGAGCCTCTGCCTTTGGCTTGGGTCATGATCCCGGGGTCCTGAGATCGAGTCCTACATCAGGCTCCCTGCCTGATGGAGTCTGCTTCTCCCTCTGCCTATGTCTCTGCCTCTCTCTGTGTGTCTCTCGTGAATAAATAAATAAAATATTTTTAAAAATACATAAATGAAATCAGTTTCAATGTTATGTATTATTTAACCCAGGATTGTCCAAAATATTATCATCTCAACATATAATTTAAAAAATCATATATTTGGATTACTTTCAGGATATCTTACATTATTTTTTTTTCCATGCTAAGTTTTTGAAATTCAGAGTGCATGTTATACCCGTCAGCACATCTGGTTTGAGCTGGCTGCATTTCAATTGCCCAAACCACATGTGGCTCCTGGCTACCATATTGGACACACAGCACGAGTCCATTTGACTGGCTGCTATGGATTGAAAGTTTGTGTCCACCCTCACCCCTGCCGCTGCACCAAATCCGTATGCTGAAGCCCTCACCCCGGTGTGATGGCATTAGGAGGTGGAGGCAGCTAGGTTTAGGTGAGGTCGTGAGGATGGGCCCCCAGTGATGGCATCAGTGTCATAACGGGAGACAAAAGAGAGCACTCACGCTCTCCCTCTCTCCCCTGCTCCCTTGCTCTTCCACGAGAGGACACAGAGAGAAGGCAGCCTCCTGCAAGCCAGGAAAGAGCCCTTGCCAGGACCCCAGCATGCTGGCACCCTGATTTCAGGCCTGCAGCCTCCAGAACTCAGAGGCACAGATGCCAGTAGTGTAAGCAGCCCCATCTGTGCTGCTTTGTTAGGGCGGCCTGAGCCAACTTGCAGACATGGGTTCTGCAGGACCAAAGCCCCCAGATGATGGGCAAACAGAGCTCTCCTTGGAGGGCCAGGCAAGAGCAGCAAGGACGAGGACCATGGAGATCCGTGCTGCTCCATCTCGGGCCTCACAGCGCTCCTGAGGGAGGGCCTGTGTGGGGCCGGGGGGTGTTGTGAGCAGAGAAGGACATTTCCAGTTTCTAAATGCTCAGGGCTCACCATTTCAGGGGGAAGATGGGGTGGGAACTCTCTTCCACATCCTGTTTCATGGTTTGATGCACTACGGTTTGGGTGAAAAGCAACCAGAGACCCACAGAGGAGCATGTGAGTCACAGAGACGGCAGGGGCTCTGGGAACCCGAATGGGAATGGCCTGGTCTGCGGACCAGCAGAGGGAACCCACTGCTTCTCCCACCTACTGCTGGCAACCGAGGAGGTCAGGTTTGGTGATTGCCCTTGGAAGGATCTACCAACACACCCAATACGTGTGTCCGCAGGCACAGGTCAACCTGGCGCCTGATGCTGCCTCTGCCACTGCTTCAGCCCGTCCCTGAGCCACGTATTCGTTCCTTCCCTATATCCTCAGATGCCATGTTTTCCCACTAATAAAACATAAAATAATTGTAGGGAAAAAATAAAGATGCAAGGTCCTGGAACCATCAAAAAGTTAATTGCTTAGTTTTGACCCACGTGACAGAAAAGTCCCAAACTTCCTCAAGGTCAAGGGTTTAAGTATGAAAAGGAAACCTAGAGGATTTAGGAAACATTCGCCTCAAATTATCATCGGCAGCCATCGCAGCAGTGGCTCCTACAGACCAGGTTAAGTCACGCCAAGGGACTCTCACTCTTCCAGATTCATAAAAATATAAGAAAATTATTAACCAAAATAATTAGAAATGCCTGGCAAGGTCATGGCACCGGGAAAAGTCCTTGAGTACAAAGAGAGGACCCTGGGATTAATCTGAGCATGATCTGAAACATTCGGCATGCCGTGTCCTGTTTTCATTGGTGAGGGACACGGAGGACAGAATCTGCATCCCAGGGAACTCCGAGGATCCTGAAGAGACCCGACTCCAGTCCCCACCCCGAGAGGAAGCAGGCATAAGCCCATTTGAGCACAGTACACAAGAGTAAGTTTAGAGGGGGAAAATGTATAAATTGTGCAAAAAGTGGGACGCCTGGGTGGCTCAGTGGTTGAGTGTCTGCCTTTGGCTCAGGTCATGATCCCGGGGTCCTGGGATCAAGTCCTACATCGGGCTCCCTGCAGGGAGCCTGCTTCTCCCTCTGCCTGTTCCTCTGCCTCTCTCTCTCTCTCTCTCTCTGAGTCTCTCAGGAATAAATAAATAAATCTTAAAAAAAAATCGTGCAAAAGGTGGCCAGGAGGCTGAGCACACTGTGAGAAGAGGGGACAGCACGGTGGCTGTGGAACCAGCCAGCGGTGCCAGCAGAGAGGCTGAGCAATGGGAAATAACCCAGCCCGGACTGCGTGGGCCTGAAGGACAAGCCGCCGTGTCCAGCTGGGTCGTGGTCACATAGGGTGCTTCCCCGGTGTCCACAGCAGGGGATCCCGTGCCCTCCACATGCCCTTCCCATTGGCCCAGGTGCACCCTGCTCTGACATTACCCCTCTGACTGGTCACCTGCTCCCCCCCAGCCTCCCAGGGACCCACCCCCCTGGGGGGGGTGCAACAGCAGAGCTTCTCAATAGAGATCATTAAAGGACACAGGACCCTCATCCAAATGATGAGGATGACAGGTGCCTAATGAGTCTAGTGGTGGAAACTTGTTCATTTATTTTTTTAAAGATTTTATTTATTTATTCATGAGAGACTCAGAGAGAGAGAGAGAGAGAGAGAGGCAGAGACACAGGCAGAGGGAGAAGCAGGCTCCATGCAGGGAGCCCGATGTGGGACTCAATCCCGGGTCTCCAGGATCACACCCTGGGCCAAAGGCAGGTGCTCAACCACTGAGCCACCCAGGCATCCCTCGTTCATTTATTTTTATTATGATTTTAACTAGGTCTAGTCAACACAGCGATACATTAGTTTCAAGCATGCAGTACCGTGACTCAGCAATGTTACATTCTCCCCAGTGTTCGAGGGAAGTGTGCTCTTGATCCCTGTCACCTGTGGACGCCATTGTGGAAAAAGTGGGTTCCTCGGACCTCTGAGTCATGGCGGAAGGCGGGCCCTGCCTCAGCTGCAGATCCAGCCCATGGAGGGGCGGTGACAGCTCAAGCTGACAAACATTCACCTGGATTGCATGAGTCGTGCACCATCAGCTTTTGCGTGTGCCATTGTTTGTTCTGGTACAAAAGTAACGCAATCATGCAGCGAGGAATTGAAACACTTGTTACATATTTTTTTTTTAAGATTTTATTTATTCATGAGAGACAGAGATAGAGAGAGAGAGGCAGAGACACAGGCAGAGGGAGAAGCAGGCTCCATGCAGGGAGCCTGACGTGGGACTCGATCCCAGGACCCCAGGATCACACTCTGGGCTGAAGGCGGTGCTAAACCACTGAGCCACCCGGGCTGCCCTTATTACATATTTTATAAACGTATTCATGGAAGTTTGTGGAGAAATCCTACCTACGTTTATGTTTATGCTCTTCTAGAATTTCTGAGTGTGTGTACACATATAAGTAAAGTATCTCAAGACCCAATGTTCCAGGTCACAGGTCAGTTTTCCCTCCCTGTGTCGATGCAGATGGAGCACATCGCACCCATACTGGAGCCAGGGGGACCAAGGAGGATGGAGGGACACACATGTCCTCCTAGCCCAGGGCACAGGGGGCAGTGGGCACTGGAGAGCTCTGTCACTTGGTGAAACGTGGAGGCCCGTGTCTCACGGGGACGTTTACCCTCTTTCTCAGGATGTGTGGCCCCTGTTTCTGTGCCATTCGTCTTATGAAAGAAGCTTGAGCTGAGCTGTCTGAGCCCATGCTCCGCTGAGCCGTCAGGCCCGGTGGTGAGACTCTGCAGCCCCACCCCCAAGTCCCTCTGTAACTTTGGGTTCTGTGTATCACCAGCATCTCCACAAGTTCAAGTACAAAGTCATGGACTCTGGAGTTTCCCATAAAAACCTCCTGGTCTCAGGGACATTTCTAGATCTCAAGGGCATGTCACTAAGGTGTGTTAGGGTCAGTAGGACCCCCCATGTGACCGTGTCCCACACCCATTCCCAGTCCCCTGCATCCCTGTTGGGTGCTCAGAGGGCAAACATGGCAGATGGAGGCTGCTGACTGCCAGCTTTCCCCATGAAAAGCAGGAGGGATGATGTGACGGGTCTGCAACACCAGCACCAGGAGGGACACCCACACACTGAGCATCATAGTTGGGCCCAGACGAGCGTTGCTGCCTGGTGGACCCGAGAGGGCCGACCAGGGCACTGCCAGCGAGGGCCCGGCTCTGGCTAGGCCAGTGAGAGTTAGTAACAGTCCTGTCTGTTGGACAACATCTCAACGTGACTTTGCAGAATGGGGGCACCTTGCCTGTGGGACTCTGCAGGCTGCAATCCTTCAAGAAAAGGGAAGCAGGGGACTCCTGAGTGGCTCAGTGGTTTAGCGCCTGCCTTCAGCCCAGGGTGTGATCCTGGAGACCTGGGATCGAGTCCCACGTCAGGCTCCCTGCATGGAGCCTGCTTCTCCCTCTGCCTGTGTCTCTGCCTCTCTCTCTCTCTCTCTCTCTCTCTCTCACTGTGTTGCTCAGAGTAAATAAATAAAATCTTAAAAAAAAGAAAGAAGAAAAGAAAAGGAGAAAAAAGAAAAGAAAAAGGAAAAGAAAAGAAAAAAAGAAAAGAAAAGAAAAGAAAAGAAAAGAAAAGAAAAAAAGGGAAGCAGGCCTCCAAGGACCCCACAGGGGGCACCCGGGACAGAGTGCGGAGCCGTGGCCCTCCTCAGCCCAAACCTGCTGGAACGTGCTCTG